CAACAGAGCACAGGATTCAGAGCAGATGCTGGGGGAAGCAGGGCTGTCTGAGGCCAGGCCGAGGCCGCTTTCTCCAGACATCTACCTATAACATCCGCCCCAACCCCCACTAGTGCAGGACATAGGAGGAGACCAAAATAGCACAAACTCACATTTTCCTGCAGGCTTTTGGGGTTTTCTGTAGAACATTCCAGTTTGAATGACCTCCCTCCTGGCCCCAAAACTCCAATAGACTGAGAGGAAGCAAAACAGCTGGTACTCAAGCCGCACCCCCATTTGAAGCCCAGGCTGCACCCCCATCCAGGGCTCACCCAGGGGTGTATCCCCATCCCAAGGCCTTCTCTCCCCTGGCAGCATGTAAATTTGCAAGTACATTGCTTTTGTTGTTGTTTGATGCAGACCCGCCCCCCCACACTGGGCTGTAGGCTCCCCAGAGCTTAGGCCCTGACTCTTTTCACTCATCACTGTTACCTCCTGCACACCGAGGTGCTCAGTGAATGCTTGTTAAGTAAGTTGGGGTGATCAGGTCCTTGATCTGGCTGGAGAGTGAGCTAAATAGCCATGGCTGGATTTCAGATGTCCTGAATTCCCAGGCTGGGAAGAGCCATCCTCCCAGGGACTCTAAGAACCAGGACCCCAGGTAAAGGGAACAGGAAGGAAGAGAATTCCCTAGCTGGGTGCCACAATGCTGTGTTCTCCAGGAGCCTAGAGAAAAATCTGTTTGCTTCTCCCTTCCTCCCAACCGCCACTTGGAAAAGGCAAGGCAGGGACTGGGTACAGAGGGGGAAGGACACCCTTGGCATTGGAGGTACATGGTGGCTGGGAGTCTCTTGGGCCTGACCCCTGCCCTGTCCTGGATCAGTGCCTGCCCGGCCCATAGGAGTGAGAGATTTCAAGGGATCTCTGAGGAGCTGGTCCTGGCTTTCTGATCCCTGGCCAGTAGAAGCAAGGAAGTGGGAGAGGAAGCTCCCTACCCCATTGAGGGGACCCTGGAGACTCCCACACAGATGCGCTGGGCCTCCATGGCCTGGGATCCTGTTTTCCCCCTGGCCCTGTGCTGGGCACTAGAGGCTGAGACAAAACCTAGAGGAAAATCCAGGTTCCAGACACAGACATGAGGTGTCCAGCACCTTTTTTTTCTTCCATTTTGGGTTTTGTTTTTGTTTTTTTGATTTGTTGCAGTTGTTGGTTGGTTTGGTTTGGTTTTGGCACCTAGGATTGAACTCAGGACCTTGTGCTTACAAGGCAGGCACAGTGCCATAAGCTAAACCCCCACCACCACCACCTTGCTTTGTTTTTTTAAGACAGGGTCTTGCCATGTAGCTCAGACCGGCCTTGAACTCACTATGTAGCACGGGCTAACTCGTGGTTATCCTCTAGCCTTGGCCTCCTGAATCCTGGGATCACAGACATTCACCACCAATCCTGGTGTGCTTTAAGCATTTACTGGAGAAGTCTGAATTTGCCACCTTGTCCACTCTTCAGCACTTGTAATCCTAGAGATGTTCAATAAGCAAGCATTGATGGGAGGGAAGGAGCTGGGCTGCCAAGCACCCTGCCTGGAAGGAGATGGCAGAACATGGGCAGGAGGAGAGCAGAGCCCCCATCCCACCGCTGCCCCATCTCTGCTCAGAGTCTCACCCTGCTGAATAGCCTGTCCCTCCTTCACGCCCTCCTGAAGACTGTGGGGCAGACTGCACTGACCTGGAGGCCAGAACTCAGCTCTTGACCCAGGACCTCTTCCCACAGTGGTCAGCCAGGCCACAGGACTGCTGGCGGAGGACAGCCGGGCTCTGCTCCTGTGGCAGGTCCTAAGCTCCTGAGCACAAGGCCAACTCTGGTCACCAGCAGGGCTGTACATGGATCTGCCCAAACCCATCTCACCACTGGAAATAGAATTCGGGGCTGCTGGGTGGGTACTTTTCTGTTTATTCTTTAAAAAATTTTTTTTGGTACCAGGGATCAAACTCAGGACTTTGCACTTGTGAGGCCGGCAGTGGAATCACTAAGCTAAATCCCTGGCCCCTGTTTATTCATTTTTTACTTTAATATTTTTAATATTAATATTCTACACATTTATTAGAAAATTAAGTTGGAAGAAAGATGGATATATTAAAAAGGCAGGAAAAAATCACCCCCTCATGCTACCCATGAGCTGTCATATGATTTATCACTTTGTTCTATTTTCATTTGTTCCTTTTGCGCCCCCTTCTCATGGCTCAGCTGGTCCCTGTAGACACAGGGGACATTTGTTAGCTGCAGGCTGCAGGGGCTCCTAGCCCCTTGGCCTCCCAGCTGGTGCCTTTCATCTGAGGACTTGTCAGACTCAGTGCCTGTGTAGGCCAGGGAAAATTTGGGGCCAAGTTCCTTAGTGAGACCCATGCACTTTTTCAGAGATGGCAAAAGATGAGTCTGAGAGGTAGGGGTATTGAGAGCTCTTTTTAGGAAATGAGAAGATTATGTTCTTCTTTTCTCTCAGTGCCAGGGATCATTTTCCTTGTCATTACTCCCTAAACAATACCGAGGAACAAGTATATCGATTCTATAAGATTCAGTGGAGAATCTGCCTTGTCTTCCCTCAAAGTGCCCCGATGAGCACACAAAGCATTTTTTTGGTTCATATACTACAAACATAGAACTGCTGGCAATAGTTGATTTTTCCTTTTCACCTGGCAGAAATATTTGTATATTCCTGGTTTACTTCGGTTTGGTTCCTAAGGACTCATTCCTTCCCACATAATGCTGTCCAAAAATTCTTTCAGGCCTAATTTAGGTAATACAATTTACCAAATACCTGTAAACTTAACCTACTATGAAAGCTCAAGAGATATAGAACACTAATAAAACAAGATGTCAAATACTGACAGATAATTTGTTTCTTTTCAGAGACATGTCAGAAAAGAAAAGGCAATTTTTAAATTTGTCATCTTTCCAGTGAAATAACATGATTCCTAATTTCTATACTTTTTTTCAGTACAAGAGTAACATCAAAGGTAGAACTTAGCTACTGACTAGTGCTAAGGCAACTCCACCAGAGTGAGCTGAAGCTTTGGTCAGTCCTGAAATATTGTGAGTCACTTACTGAGTCTGGTGGCAGGAGAAATGGGTCACCAAACCCCTTCCATATATCTTCCTTAAGTCTCAGTTAAGTGGCATGAGGTTCTGATTCAAAAGTATTTAACATGACATCTGAGTGTGGTGGCACACGCCTATAATCCCAGCACTCAGGAGGCTGAGGCAGGAGGATCACCATAAATTCGAGGCTGGACTACATACTGAGTTCAAGGCCGGCCTGAATTATGAAACCCTATCTCAAAAAAACAAAACAAACAAAAGTATTTAACATGAAAGTTTGCTAACTCATGCAATACTGACACTTTTCCAGGCTGCTGGCCACATGAATTATTCAGTGTGTGCGTGCGTGCATGCGTATGGGCACGTGTGTGTGTGTGGTTTGCTTAGCTATGCCTCTGTACATCCAATATTATCAATGTGTTTGTAATCAGCATATCAGATATGCCTATGTGTGTTTTGTATTACCAATAAAAGCTGGGTTCCTCTGAAAGACGAATTCAGTTCATTTTTAACCTTTATTCACACTGAGTAGGGCAAAAATACATGATTTTCAATAAACATGGTGCCACATATGGTGCCATATACTTGTGCCCATTCTGAATGTCTGCATTTGGAAGTACTACTGCCTCCAAGGCTTCAAAATCTTGTCAAACTGTCAAAAAGCCAGAGAGAAAGTAACACACATAAAGTCATCCAGCTCGTATCTGTGCTTTCTATTTCACCTATAATTTTCCAAATGAGTGTTACCTTCTTTGAGTATAAATCTGTTTAATTCTGCTCATGGGAGTATTGACTAGAAAAATGAGGGTATTTTTAAAAATAGATTTTGTGCTTGCCCATAGAAACTCACACTATGTGAATGTATTTTGTGCCTCTAAAACTCTTGGAGGAGGGGTGTTCCTCCACCCCTGCTTACATCCTCCTCCCTGGGGGATGGGGGGACGTCAGGGTTAGGGTGAGGGATAGGCCAAGTACCTGGTGGACACTGTTAGGTAAATGGTGACATCCAACAAAAGGAGACGGGCCGCGGACCTCCTGGAAGGAGCCCGAGTCGTTTTATCGAGCTGGGTTGTCATGGATAGGCGGATGGATGAAGCGAGACTAGCCGTCATAGCAATGGCTATGACCCTGTACTTCCGGCGCGCTGTGCCCTAGGAGGCAGGAGGCTGCTCCGAGTTCTTAGCAAAGTGGGTGGGGTAGCAACGGGACGTGGAGACGACTGTGATTTTTCTCAGAGCTCCGGAACTCCCGCGGCGAGAGGGAAAACGGGGATTAGATCTGTCGGGCACGCTGAAGGTTTCAAACATGATCGGGGGCGTCTTCTCACGGTTGGCCTTGGGGCTCAGGTTCCACCCTGCGCTCCCTGCAGCGCCCTGGGCGCCGCCCTTTTCGGAGCGCTCTCCTATTTCACCTCCGCCTCCTGGTGCTCCTCCCAGAACTCCAGAGGGGCGCTTCTTTGAGCTACCAGCACGCGGAGCGAAGCAAAGGCCTTCCCAGTTTGGGAGAGATCGCGACTGTCTGAAAACTGGCTCAGGAGAAGCAGAATTTAGCCTTTTGTGTCAGACCCCGCCTTCGGCAAGGAACCGCCTGGGCGCAGCGGAAACGCTCACCGTCCTCGGCTCTGGGCAGCACCACGGTCAGCGCCCGGGTGACGGCCGCTTGCTGGAACCGAGCAGAGGAGGGAGCTGCCCTACCACGCAGAGGTTCCTGCCGGGCCACCTGGCCCCCAACGCTGGGGAATGGATTCGATCCAGAGGGGGACGCCGCGGGGAGGGAGGACAACTTTTGTCTTCTAAGGAGCATGCCCGAAGTGACGCTTAAACACGGTGCCCTTTCCCTGTCTCCTCCCCTTTCCTATTCCCCTGTAAATAAAGACGACCAACACTTAATGCGGATTGAGAGAATGGCTGCTTTAATGCTTCACGTTTCCATTTCCTTCCACAGGGCTTCATTTTAAAAATAACAAAATGAGGTAAGTCGAGTCACTGTATGTACACGGCGTCGTGCTGAGGAAAGCTCGCGGCCCCGCCGCCTAGAAGCATTTGCGGTGCACGATGGAGGGCCCGGCCTCGTCGTACTCCTGCTTGGTGATCCACATCTGCTGGAAGGTAGACAGCGAGGCCAGGATGGAGCCGCCGATCCACACGGAGTACTTGCGCTCAGGGGGGGCGATGATCTGCAAGACAGCCAAGTCAGGTGGCCCTGCCGTCCCTGCCCTCCCCTGCCCTGCCACCCTGAGCGCCCCGGCCGCCGCCCACCTTGATCTTCATGGTGCTGGGGGCCAGAGCGGTGATCTCCTTCTGCATGCGGTCAGCAATTCCAGGGTACATGGTGGTGCCCCCCGACATGACGTTGTTGGCATACAGGTCCTTCCTGATGTCGATGTCGCACTTCATGATGCTGTTGTAGGTGGTCTCATGGATCCCGGCGGACTCCATGCCTGCGGGCCGCGCGGGGGGCAGTGTGAGCAGCGGAGACCCGCGGATCGGCGGGGTGGGGGCCCGCA